GGGGCTGAGACCAAGGAAAGTGGGTTTGTAGTACACATGCCCATTGATTCTTATGCACATAGAAGTTTGAGAACCACTGAAGTAGAGAATCCAGCCATCTAGACCTATAGAATGCCCAAGGCTGACCTGAAGAAGTCAACCTGTAGCTATCAAACTCTAGAAGATCTTAGACTTCATGGCTGGCTCTTCATGGGACTACTTTTTAAACCTGACAACAACCAGAAGGAATCCAGTTGTATAAAACATGATCGCTAGAAGACTTGAAGCAAAACAGATGACTTCTAACAAGATGTCTTAAGAACCAGGCTCTACTGTGTCTATACATCAAGATCACATTTATTTTCGTGAGGGGAACAGCCACGTTATCTGCCTGGGTTACCAGCACACCTAATTATAGCAGCATCCACACTGCTGGTGACAGCAGATATGGTCTCCTGCCCAGGAGATTATCTCGTGGCTCAACAGTTTTGAGCCAATTTCAACACAACAAACCCGACTTACCTCATTCTTCTATCATCACTAATTAAAGACACCCTTCTGCTAGAGGCAGGCAGGAACTTTACTTTTTTTTAAGGTTTCAAACAAGTGCTAGAATAAAGATTTCTCAGAGATAGTTTCTATCGGTCAATGTATAACATGGATGCAGAAGAAGCACAATTGAAACTGCCAAGATGGAACACAGAAGTCTGCGCATTGATACACAATTCAAAAACTGATCTGCTGTATCCTCTTCCTCCTCCTCCTCTCCTCCTTTCTTTGAATCCCTGATGCCTGTGGAGTGGGGCTGCTGGTGGCTATCATTTTACAGAGTGCATAAGCTGGAAGCCCACGATGACAATTACAATGCTGACAGCAGTTAGCTCTTCCATCGCCTCCACCTCAGCCCCAGCACTGAATGTTTATCTGTGTCATAACTTAATCCTCACAAACAGTCCCGAATTAGGGATCAGTATTCTAGTCCCATTTCACAAACAAAGACACTGAACACAGAGGGATGAATAAACTTGCCCTCTGGTCCATGTCCTTAACCACCATGAGCTGCATTCATGACTTCATCTCATCTTCTGGACAACTGTGACAGATAGGTATTAGCAGCCTTATTTTTGCAAGTGAAGACATTAAGGATCAGGGAGATTATAATTTGCCCAAGGCCGCCTAAATAATAAGTAGAAGGGGCAGTGTCGAACCTGATTGCCGAGGCCACTTCCTCCCTCCACACGGTACCGCTGCTGGCGACGGTGGGCGTTGTGGGGTAGGTGGGGAAGGAGTAGAAAAGAGCCCTGGAAGGTTCAGGGCCGTTCATTTTTCGTAAATCGCATCCCAAAGTGGCTTAGGTTACAGAAAGATGTGGCTCTCCAGGCAGGAGATGCTGTGACAAAACTAGGGGTCACGGGACCCAGAAGAGCAGGAGTGTAAAAACAGACAGGTAATGCATTTACCGACACCTTCAGAGGGAACCTGAATTTGGGTAAAGATGAAACTCCTGAGCCACTGTTAGCAGAGCTTGCAAGGAGCACCGTTTTTCTGGTTGTGAAGCTGCCCTTTCAAGTGGACTATTCTGTGCATTTGCCAGGACATTGGCTGGGCCAGGGCGATAGCCCATGGTTGTGGGCCAGAAGCTAATGCTTCCCTCATGGGCTGTGTTTCAGTCACTTGCTGCTCCAGCCAAGTGAGCTAAAAAAACCACAGACAACATACCTCTCGTCATGTTATTGTTCTCAGAAGTCTGGGACAATAGGAATCAAACACATTTCCAGGCAAGGCAAAATTCAACTCTAGGTACACAGACACACACACACACACACACACACACACGCACACGCATGCATGCACGTTTGTCAATTGAGCCAAATGTATTTTTGATGAGCGATTAAGTGGGGCTTTCCAAGAATCTGGCAAAATAATACTTGAAGGGGTTTCAGCACAGCCTTAAGGTTCATGGGAGTTATTAGCTTCCTTATGCTTCATTTTTCAGAAACAACTAACAGAGCAGCAGAAAGGGGTTTTCCTTAGGGGGTTTCTAAACAGGGGTCGGATCACTTTACCCATCCTTAAGTTTGTAGTGCCAAAGATAAGTATCACTCTTGTACCACTGGGGGCCTTTCTACATTAAGAGGGAGGACCTGCACTATAGGGGAGAGAAACAATGACTAGCTCGATTTAGGCATTCACTGAATTTACCTAGTGTTGACAATGCTTGGAGGAAAAACATGCTTTAAATTTTTAAAATGAAACGTTCTGCAATTTTAGCCAGCACTCAGTAGAACGGATCTTAATGGCCTGCTAACAAAATTCTCCAACCCAGTAAGTTCTGAGATGGCAGGACTGCATCCCATCACCGATGTGACCTCAGTGCTTAGAAGAGTGCCTGGCACATGGCTATCGCTGTCACTGTCTATTGAGCACCTGGCCTACTGGGCCCTCCCAGCTGACCACTTGGATGACAGTGATGATAATGATGGTGGTGGCAGTGCTAGGTACTTGGGAAGCAGTGTCCGTTAATCCTCCTAACAATGGTTTTTAACCAGGTAGTTAAAACGATGGCCCTTATCTTTCAGGGGAGGGACGTGAGGGTTTGTGAAACTCTGTCACACTCCCAGGTGATGGCAGAAACTTCCAGAAAGCAGTAGAGCTGGGATTTGAACTGAGGTCTCCCTGCTTCTGGAGTCTGAATTTTTAGTCACTGTTCTAGTCTGCCTGTCTGTAGTCAGGGGTAGGCTTCAGGTGGTAAACTTGAATTCTTGCTGGAGTCAAGAGGAAGGATCCTGAGGTTATTTTAACATCATTTTTGGCAAGTGTGTGGCGAGAGTGAAGTGTTTCTATTTTGCTCCACACACCATGGAGGTCGTATTTTTGGTGACCTAGCCCTTCAGAAACTCACCACTGGTGATTCCAGAATGACTCTAATGTTTCCCCAGATGCTCCTTTTTCTAAGCAATGCTGCTCCCCACCCCCCACCCATCTCCCAAACACAGAGAGAAATTCTGCTGCAAAGTGGCAGTGAGGTACCCAGACAAGTTCATAGAAGCCAACTTAACTCAGAATTAAACATAGTGCATCCATGGTGATGAACTAGTAATCAAGCCAGATGGAAAAGGGTAGCTTTCAGTAGGAGATAATTCATAAAGCTGATGCTCAAGGAAATACAGACTTAATGAAGAGAAAGTTTTCTTCTTTGTTTGTTTGTCTTAATTTGAAGACCTCTGGATCCTTTTATAAAAGATACAGGTAATGCTGGCACTTTAATTCCACTTTCTCTTTGAAGGCTGGCTTTCCTGTCCATTGTCCCTGAGATAGCAGTGATATTACAAGGCACTCACACTTGACACAGCATTAGATTGGTCTGGTTCACATGTAGAGCAAAAGATGGAAGGAGATAAAAGGGAAGGGGGTGTTCCCAAGTGGGTGCTGGTCTGGGTGAGGGTGACTGGAGGAGATGAGAGAGGGCAGGCAGCAAGGGGGACGTGTGCATGGGAGATGAGACCCTAAATATGTGTGCTCCACATGGGGAGCCAGGACACGCTCCTCGAGGAAGAAGCATAGCTGTGACGAGAAAAAGTTGGGAGCATGCATGTGTGTGGTGAGGGTGCCTGGATGATTGTGTTCTACGTCCAGTTGTTCATTTATTCAATGTGTCGAGCATCTTCTTTGTACCGACACTATGCTCACAGGTAAATTCTGGATCCTCACGCAGCTCACATTTTTGTGGGGAAGAGACAACAGACAAGCAAGCATATATAGAAGAAAGCAAATAAAAAGCATAGACAGTGATAATAGCCAGGATGAAACTCACTGGGGCACTAAGAGAGTCCCAGACCGGAGGAGAAGTCTCCTGGAGGATGTAACCTGGAAGCCGTGCACGGGGGAGAGCTCGGAGAAGAGCGTCCCAGCGAGGGGACCAACAAGAACCGAGGACCTGGACAGACAGAGAACCTGGTGCGTTCTAATGTTGGACAGAAAGCCAGGGTGACTGTGGCGCGGTGGTTAACAGAGAGAAATGTGTGATCAGCAAGAAGAGGTGGGCAGGGCGGGTCCAAGAAGGAACTCAGGGCCAGGCTGAGGGGTCTATTTAATTCTAAGGGAAGGGGAACCCACTGGGCATTTGAGGGAGGGAGTGACAGGTCGGAGGGGCTCCCACAAAGCTGGCTCCTGCAGCTGGGAGGACAATGTGCGGGGGTCAGGGAGTGGCCGTGCACATCACGGCAGCAGGCGGCCACCTGTCCTCACTACAGGCACCGCACAGCCTGGACAACCAGATTGCCACTTGCCTCTTGGCATTTTACAGCTGGAAGGACACTCGGTGTGAGGAATGTGGTTTTTGAGTCTGGGATTTCACAGAGCAGTAGGCAACAGAAGTCGGGGACTCACAGAGTACTACCACTTTCTCTTTGGCTAAGGAAAGTAAAAACTCAGCCACCGTCTGTGATCACCTTCTTTTCATAAGAGAAAGGATATTTTAAAACCAAAAATATAAGACTACAATCTCATGGGGAAAAAAATCAGTTTTATCGAAAACAGTACACCTTCCTTATATTTTCAACGTCTTGCTTTAGAAACAGTTAGAACCTTCTGACAGACTGGGCACACCCCCCCACATCAGCATTCAGAGCATCGGTATTTAGGAGCCACTGAGCCCACCCATCTCTCCCATTTCACAGATGAGACCAGGTGAGGTTCAGGAGGCATGTGGCTTTCTCAGGGTGAGGGCCTGAGTTAAGGGCAAAGGTCTGAGGTCCCCCTCTCCTGCCTCCAGGTTCATTCTCATTCCATTACATCATCATGCTGTATATTCCAACTATTTCTTCTGCTGCCAACTTGCAGCGACTGTCCCATGTATTTCTGTCCAGTGGGGAGGACACTGGCCATTTTCACTTCCCTGCCAGTATTTCTGAGAGCTAAGGTCCTTATCAAGAAACAAGTATTCAGCACAACTGCTCTCAGCCTGGAGCCCAACAAAATGGAATTCTGTTCTTGATAAAGAAGACAGAAGTGTGTCTTACCTGATCTTTAGATATGCTGCCACTCCAAACACCAGCAACACCACAGCAATGACTGTCACCGTAATGGCCGCGATGCTGCCTGTGAAGGAGAGAAGGCACAGAAAGAAGATGAAGGAAGGGTATTCATTTCAGATCATTCTGCGACAAAACCCTGGAGCTTAATGCTGCTACCAAAATGCTTCTCAGCCTAGGCTAATTCCGGTAAATGGCCAATATCTATCAAGACTTTTTGGCTGGCCTGGAGTTCAGAAAACAGTCCACAGTAATATCTGATTATCTTTTAAAGAATGCTGCCAATCTGTTGCTGCTGTGTGCAGGGGTAAGGGATTTAAAATCTCCAGACATCTTATTTTCTTCTTTTATATGCTCTAGCTTGTCTTTCGGGCACTTGCAAAATATTGGAAGACTTAGGATGTTTTATTCAAGTGTCATGACAAAATAATTTGGTTGGCTTTTTAATAAACCAGAACCACACAACTATATCAGTCATGTCCATTTCAAAAGGGTCATCTTGGTAGGAGATGCATTAACTTTAATGATGCCATCAAATCAAAGCATTAAAAAAAAATGCCTCTTTGGGAGGTGTGTTCAGTTTTCATCCTTGATAAGTGAATTTGATTTTGTAGAGGATAAAGTCAAGTTTGGTGCATAAAATAAGGTCAAGTCTGGTAGGTAACACTATTTGTTGTTTGTAGAAACAACCAGGTCCAACATGAATGTTTTATTGTGTAGTTTAAAAATCTGGTTCCAAAGGTAACTATTAATGGGCAGTTAAAAAAAAAACCCTTTGAGCATGTAGTCTTGTAAGAATAACCATATTGCTTCCAGAGATTACTACTTCGAAGCACAACACTCTTTTTGTGTGAGCTGCTGACTAATAATGTGTATGTTTCAGTTATATTTCACTTCAGAAATGCCAAGAATCAATTGGGCTCTTGTCCCCTAATAGTTAAAGTGACTTTTTGGCACTAAAGTTGGTATTAGGAACCCCATGTACCCTTTCAGGCCACTGAGAAATTATTTTCTGCTTCAACAAATGAATGAGACTGTCAAACACACTGGAAAGAGCATCAACTCTGGAGTCCATGTGGATTCAAGTGTGGTTCCATCATTACTGGCTATGTGACCGTGGGCTGTTTACTTAACCCCGTCGACCAACACTCACCTGCACTGACAGAGAAAGGAGAGCTGTTCTACCCTCCCACGTAGTTTTAAGAAAATTAAACGAGATGCTTGTGCCAAAGGCAAAGTCCTATCCAAATATACCTTCCTGGACCCATGCCCGTCTCTTGTGACAGCATCTTAAAGGTGATGGGTCCGCCTCACATTTTTGGAGATTTACCATTTGTAGATTATTTTGCCATTTCTCCTTTTATTCCCTCCCCCACCTTATAAATAGCTTTTGTACACTGTTCTTTTTTTGAGCCCTTCCACCAAAGGAATTAGAGCAGAGCTAGGATGAAAATCAGTCTACTCATTAACTCTTTAGTAACTCCCCCAAAGTTTTGGGTGAAAGAAGGCTACGGCAAACATCCAGAGTGAGAAGGCCCTCACTTGTTATAAATTCTAAAATAGAGCCAAGGAGGTACTGCAAATGTAGAAACTAAGACCAGACCTTGATGTGTCCACACAGGTTATTATCAGTACATTTTCCTTCCCCCTTTTACTACTGTCAAGATAGAATTATGGCACTGAATACTCAAATGTGCAGACTGGATCAAGTAAAGTTCGAAGTCAGATCCCCTTATGGGAAACCTCTACTCCTACTTTGAAAGGCTTCACTTAGCTGCTCAGCCTCCAAACTATGCTGAAATTAGAACAATTCAAAGTTCATTGAAGCCCCTTAACAACTCTTTTAAGAGCTTGTGAAATGAGATTATTACTGCCAGGTAAGGTGATGGGGATATTGTCAAGATTCAAAAAGATATAGTGATTGCAATTAGAAGCAGTTTTGAAAACTGATCTTTAAATTTGATTTCCCCCTTTCAAAAAAATAAATGGGAGAAGAGAAAGAATATAGTTGATTTCTCTTTAAGACCCTTCTTTCTTGCCCCAGGATACATTTAATACAGGAAATCATAGGTCTGACTTTTTTCAGTTTCTTCCGTAATTCTAGGTAGTTGGATTTCCTCCAACTCTGTGATTTACTGGATATATTTATATACCACCTCTTACTAAAGATAAAACATGCAGTTTCCCAACCCAAGTGCTGTTTTTTTTTTTTAATAGTGAGTGATAGAGTGATCCACTTCCTCTCTAAGTGACTGGTGACTGTCTGGCTGTCAGGGCAGTCTTCAAATGGGGCTCTTCAAGAAGGAGAAAGAAAAATCCATATGAGATCGCTCATATGTGGAATCTAAAAAAAAAAAGAGATAAATACAAAACAGAAACAGACTCATAGACATAGAATACAAACTTGTGGTT